CTTAATATATTAACGTTATATAAACTTATGTATTTAAAATTTTTTAACTGAAGGAATAATCGCCAATAAATATTGAATGCCAAAATCATGCCAAAACAGTAGAGTAAAAAATTAAGTTAGCTTATTGTGACATTTGATATTATTAATATAACATGTTATTTATTGCATAAATCTAATATTTATCATCAATATTTATTTATCCATATTTAAGATAAATGTTTCAATAGCCGGACATCTAACGATTAATATAAATTTGATTAATTTTTATAAATATTTACTGTTTTTAATTATTTAATTATGTAACCAATTGAGAAACAAACTATAGCTCGCTACTAACTAATATGTAGATTTGATGCCAAAAAGTATGTATTATATTTTATTGTATATATTATATTTATTGTTCTTAAACTGTTTATCTTGAACGACATTTACTTAGAGATCTATATTATTAACTTGTTAACATTACTTTATTTTGCTGAATTGTTTAATTGTAAATATGATATTTCTTTGATAAAAATTTGTTGAAAAATTGTCTACGTTAACATGTAAGAAATATATATTGTTGTCGCAGATGGACAATACTCTTTGAAGGTTATATCCTGAGGAGCTTAAAGGTTAGAAAATGTACCGATTCAGTTATTTCAAAAAATCTTCGTAACAAAAGAAATTTAATTAAATAATGTTTAGCTGTTTGTAAATTTGTAAAGGTATATATTATTTATCATATCAGATTAATCTTTGCTTAATAGGAATACACAACCTATTGAAATATCACGTGCTAATATACGTAAAAGAATTAAAGGCTTTATAAAAAATACTGACTAAACTTTTGTAATTTTTTTTCAGATTAAGTTCAAAGACACAAATTGTTAAAAAAAATAGTCATTGTTTTTGCACTCACTTGTTAAAAACAATAAAAATCGCAGATCACAGTAGCACTTAGTTGCATTGATCAAACAAACAAACAATCAATATCTTTAACACACGTGCCAAATACTTATAGGCGAAAACGACTGCCGTGCCATCAAGCAGTCGCGTCGTGCAACACGACGTCTTTGCGATACCGTTTAGAGTTCTTCTCAAAGTGCCTTCAAGATATCTTGCTAAAGATATCTTTTAGATATCTTTTAGAACTTCCACCAGCAAAAATGTTTACTGGGTACACGATAACCTTTGCACGAATATCTGGCTGTTGGCTCTTTACGCTCCTATCAAATATTATTGATTTTAACAATTATCAGAGCCTGATACATCTATAATTTTAAAATAAATAATTAATTAATAACAAATTAATCATAATTTAATCAATCAATTAATTAATTAATTACTCAAATAACTGAAATTAAATAACCGAAAGACATTAAACCCGATATTTCATTAAAAATACCTATTAGAAATTTTTCATATTCTTCTGAAATCTTAGTCGATATTTCTTACACAATTATTGAATTATTTATTATTGATTTATTATCTATTACGTACTAATTGCTTAGTTCTTAACCCTCTTCAGTCACACTTCCGAAAAATGACGTAATAGTCATTTTGGGTGAAATCCACCCTCGCACCTTTGCACTGCAATAAATTATTGTAAAATGACAAAAGAAAAAAAAAAAAAAAATGAGATAAGTTTTTTACAAGAACTTTTTTACAAGAACTTTTCTACAAGAACTTTTTTACAAGAACATGTCTATTATATATAAGAAATTTAATT